GCGACATAAGGTTGCGACATTTAGAAGCTCCCACCTTTAATGGACCTATTCTTGACCATCAGATGCACATTTGCAACGCAACCCTCATGAAGCGCGCCAACTGTTGAACTGATTAAAACCATCTTCATTCATATCTTATAAATTATCAACCCAGCTATGTAATTTACTACAGTGGATATTGTATCAATTTGATCTTGCCTGTAAACTGGCATGCCTCATGTAACAAACTGTTATTTGAGAATAAATTATTATTTTTACCATCAGTATTATTGTGCTTGACAAAATTTTTGAGAAATTTATTAAGCATTCACCCCTATCTACAATATCTGACCTAATTTATTTTATCCTACATATTACGTAATTTCTGATTTTTATTCCATTATTCTCCCTCTCTCACAACATGTTGACCATGTTTGTTGTGATCATTTTTTATCTCACAATTTAATTTCACTTTTAAACTGATTCAAGTTAACACTTGATATTAGTCAGCCTCAACATTAACGATTTGATTTTATATAACAGGCAATTCTTGATTCACATGTTACAATTTTAAATGATGAACTCTGCCTTAAATCTGGCCAAATTTTTGGATTATTAACTTGGACTTACAATTGTAGAGTCTGATGAGAAATTGTTGAAAAGGATATTCTTCGTTCATATAATTGTTTTTTCTATATTTTTCAGTTTACTTCAGATACGCAACTTATTTCTGGGACAAACAATGTGGTTGCAGACGCTCTATCCCGTATAACGTACTTGAACAGAGTCCAAGTGGTCCCCCTTGAACTCAAATGGTTCAAATGGACCCACTTTGAACTCGCTCAGCTTCAAGAAGAATGTATTGCTCTTCTTCACGTATTGTCTTCGGCATCCCTAAAATTGCGCATTAAACGGATAGGAACAGGTAAAGAAACCTTACTATGCGACACATCCACAGGTAGGGATCGTCCAATTGTGCAGAAACATTATCGACGCAACGCCTTCATTACGTCGCATAAACTTTCCCATCCAGTTGTTCGTGCAACCATCAAGCTCATAGCAGAATGACTTTTCTTGCCTGGTATGAATAGAAACTTAAAGGAGTGGAGAAGTTATTCTGTGAGCTGTCAGAACCCTGAGGTGGTTAGACGCAACGAATATCCCTTAGCTGTCTCACAATTCCCGACGCTCGTTTCGATCATGTTCATCCGGATTTGGTAGAATCTTCAGATTGAAATAGATACCCTTACCCCTTACTTATGTAAACTGTCTCACTCGATGGCCAGAAGCAGTATTCATCAAGGAAATTACTGTAGAAGCAGCGACCTACGCCTTCGTCATACGGTGGATAGCAAACTTTAGCTGCCCTTCAACTATCACTACAAACCGTGGATACCGGTTTGAAGTTGGACTTTTCTGTTGTCTGACTACGCTATCTCATCTAGTAATCAACAATCAAAATGACGACCAACCCAAATCAACGTGCTCTGAGAGAAGAGTGATGTTTTCAGAACAGTTAAAAGACTACTGAATGTAAGACCCTACGTAAAACTTTGTTTCGTCTCGATTTTTTTGTATCATTATGTCAAAAACAAAAGCAAACTATTTTAGTATTCATATACATATATATTTATTGTTTCTATCAAAAAACTTTTTGTCGCTAATATGTATGCTTATCATTCACGTTTAGAACTAGGGACATGATGTTCGATCAGGTTACATCTCGCTCAAATGTATAACGAGCTAATATATCAGCCATTCAGGAGTGCGTTGTTAAGACAGATTGGTCTGTCAATTGAAGAATCATGGTCTATAATTAAAGGAAAGTTTAGTTTAGTTACGTCCTCGTTCATACCAAATAACAGTCCATCGTGGGTAACAAAACCAATGAGGAAAATTCTTAGAAGGAAAAAGCACTGAAATATGTTCATCTCTACAATACAGTTCCTGTAAAGCGTTGATAAGTAAGATTAAACGATCATATGGAAAACAGTTGGTTAGGGACTGTAGATATAATCCGAAACGGTTATTCTCGTACATAAAAAGGCAAATTCAAAGAAGCGATGGAATTCCATCACTTTTGATACAGGAAAGTCCGTTAATCTTGGCAAGAAATGACACCTAAAAAGCTGAAGCTTTATCGTAACGTTTCATTAAAGTGTTTTTTAACAGTAATAAAGAACGATCAACGATTAATTGTGATTGTAGCAGGTTGTTGATGGACATTGTAGTCATTGGGATGTGTGATATCTTATGAGTACTTGAGCATCTAAAATATGATAAGTCCAGTGGTCCTGATCATATTCATCCTAGGATTATGAAGGCCATATCAGATTTAACTGATGAACCTTTAGAGATACTGTTTGACTGGTCTCCGAGGCAGTCCAGACTGGAAAGACGCGATAACAAGTCCGATGTATAAGGCTGGGAGTAGGGATTTGGTTAGTAGCTATAGATGGAAAAAATAATTCGGATATCTGTTAGAAAGTATGTGGTAGGGCATAAACTTTCACCCAGGGGACAACATGGTTTTCGGAGAGGCCTTTAATGCTTAATAAATTTTCTCATTGCAAGAGAATATGGGGTTGCAGAAAAAGATCGGAATATTCCTGTAGATATGATCATCATAGATCTAAGTAAGGCCCTCGATAAGGTCTCCCATTCTGGCCTTAAATTCAAACTGGAACATTTTGGAATCCAATATACAGTCGTTATTTGGATATTTAACTTTCTCGATGACAGGAGACAAAGGGTAAGGGTTAATGGAGCTCTCTTCATGTAGGTACCTGTAAAAAATGGAGTCTCCCAAGGTACAATCCTCGGTCCTCTTCTCTTTTTACCAACTATAGCGAAATTATCCGTTCTGCTCCTCGCTGATGACATAAAAATTTGAAGACCCATACACAGTATGTCGAAAAGAATGGTATTACAGGATGATCTTTGCTCATTGGTGGCAGTGTTTGGACAGGTGGCCACTAAAAGTAAATCCTAATAATAGTGTGGTGATGCAACTAAATAACTTTGATGAATCGTGTCACTATACAATTTGTGGATTCATGCTACCCAAAGTAAGAAACCATAAAGATTTAGGAGTCATATTAAGCAGTGACCTCAAAACCACTAGTCACTGTAAGGCTGCTGCTGAGAAATGCTATAGGGTATTATGGTCTATTCGTAGGTCTTTCCAGTAGTTAGATGATGGAATGTTTAGATTATTATACCCGATTTATGTGCGACCACATTTAGAATATGTGATTCAATGAGCGAGTGCATGTTTCAAGTATGAGGCAGATATGCTGGAACGAGTCAAACGACGAGGTACCAAGATGGTACAAGGTCTATCTGGCCTATCTTATGAAGACAGTCTGAGACACCTCAACTTAATTCCGTTATCTTACCGTAGAATACAGAGTGATCTAATATTGGCTTATCGTATACTGAACGATGACCTCGGTCTTATTTTTTACTTCCGTCTGGGATTGATCATTTGAAAAAACATTCGAAGGAAGTTCAAAAACCGAGATCAAATCGTTAACATCTGGAGTTTTGTTTCTCACACCGAGTAGTGAATTACTGGAATTCTCTACCGAACCATGTAATATCAGCACCTGTTGATGTATTCAAAACGAAATTGGGCCTCCACAGTGGTACAAACTGCGAGGATTAATATAGGTCGATATACCTCCTATCCCTACTAGTGAAGACTGAGGGAACGCCAGAAGCGTTGATTCTCCGTGTTCAGTTGTACAGTGGGACAATTTGATTTTGAGAGTTTATCATTTGTACAACGAACATTTGTAACAGGCATTTGAACAGTCTCTTGAATTAGCATGTCAGACGCGATTTCTTTTTATGGATTTTCCTTGGTGGTCAGCAATGCAGTTTGTGTGGCTCACTTGCTTTTAAAAAGCGTGATTAACTGAAAGTTCCAACGATAAGATGATTTGCCCAGTGGTATCACGAGTTCTAGACATGGGAGCTTCTGAGATACTTAGTAGTTTGGTTATACGAATGATTTTGCCAATATTTTGTCGGTTCGAGAATAGCATATAGAATTTAAACTGTGTATTTTAATGTCACATCAATGCCACTGAAGCTGTCGGATATCATGAGTCTGGTTTCTGATGCCATATTAACAGTATTTAGTCCGATGGAATTCACTACAGTTTAAAGCCACGTGGGTTCTGTATATTTAATTGGAGTGGAAACAACCAAGACTTGTGTGGTCTATATCAAAATGCATAGAAAACCTGGTGCGTGGTAGTAAATAAATTTGCGATATCAAGATAAATCACAAAGATGGTTCGGACGAATTTAATAAACGTAGTTATCAAGTTACTCAGTAATTTATCTTAGTAGTTTGCTTACACGCAAATGATTGAACTTCAGACGGAAAACAATAACAGTATAGACGCAATAGTATAATGGTGAGTGGAGGGTTGATAGTTAGTTGGGATTGGTAAGGCAATATGGGTTTGAATGTCAAATTAGCAACAGTGTCTGTTTACATGTATTTTAGGTCGTTTCAGCCCACTGAAACAATAAAACTCAATTTAATTATTTTTAAAACTGATTTCCGACAAAAGTAAATTGGTCACCGAGAGTAAAGTTTTGTTCTTGCTATTTTCTCTGTTGAAATGCTGATCGACCTTGATACAGATTTAGAATATGTGCCCGACATGACATCAGATACGAGTTGTTTTGACATAATTATTGGCTCGTCGGCTGGTTTTGTAAAAGGTATTACTCCTAACTGAAGTTTACTGGCGTAGAAATTTCGATTAGCAATCACACTTTATCTCCAGCTTCTCTAATTAAGAATGAAAACATTAGTACAATGTGCTGGTGCGGCGCATTTGATTCTGAAGTTTGTTAATTTCCGTATGTTATTTAGCGCTTATTGGTTCTTTTCGGGTGCCGTTCTGGAAAGCTTTATAGCTTAGACACCAAGAGACACTCAGTTACTGCTGTCGAGCAATTCTCAAAGTCTCAAGAAGATTCTGTTGTTTCTCTGCAGTCAAATGACAAGTTAGTGTGCGTATTTGATTATTAAGTCAGATTAATCCTTTCAGCTCACTCATCAGGAGGCATTAGAGTTTTTTCCCGTGACTTTACGTCGGAGAAAGTACGTCTTCCGATTTGGTTGCTCACTGGTTTTTGTAGTTTCAGCTAAATGCATCAGGATTGATTTGCTCAGCAAAATTAGCGGCAAACCAAATTGTTGCCGGAGGAAAAGAATTAGCCTTGCGAGTGTGGGATATAAACAACCACAGTTCGCCAATTTTCATTGCTAAAAACGTCCGCTCCTCTGTACTGGAACTTTCTGTCCCCATATGGATTGCTGATATTAGCGTTGTACCTAAGTCTAATGGAAAGCTCATATTAACTGCCTCGAGATATGGCGAGGTAAGCTTTCAAACGTCGTTTGTGTTTCAAATACTCTCCATCTAAATATATACCTTCGTTTCTTGAACACAAAGAATCATAACTTAACATCGTTCTAGTCGCTGGTTTTCAAGTATCAACTCCACATGGGAGAAGATTAACACCCTTTAAGTCTTCTCGAAATTCTTAGTATTACATCCATGCTTTAGCTCTGTTAGTTTTCACCATGTGTTATAGGTGTAGGTTTATATCAATTCCACAGTCTGTAAAATTAAGGGTTGAATGGATTATAGTTAGTCAGTCAGCTACAACATTGGACCAGGCACTTATATACATCGGCCCAAGTCGCCAAACCTCATTAGCACAACAAGATGAACACCGGATTCATAAGAGTAGTTACCTCAAAGGTAGTAATAAATAAAATAAAAACTATGTATAAGGACAATACAGGAAGAAAGAATTAGAAAGGTGTAAAGTAATTTTAATCTCACGATTTAGGGGAAGATGAAGTGTATACACCGACGCCGTTGTGATCGATTCTGAGACATATCACCCAGAGTCTTCAACCATTGCTTACGATAGTCACGCGGACCCCAACCAAGTAGTCTGCATCTACTAACATGGTTCAGACTAGAAGTTAGTGACTTCAATGACTGACTCCAAGTTTTGGCATCAGTCATTGAAGTAACACTGACGTGACATTTGGGAGTCTAGGGTTGAAATGGTTTGTTATTGTTCAGATAAAACGAAGAAAATAGTTATCAGTCACTATTGTTAGGAGAAACCGATTTTCGGAGGATTTAAAGAGTTATTAAAAACCATATTTCTATTGATTCTGCCAATCCGATATTTTAATGAGATTACCGTGTTTTTATGTGATGGTGTTTCAAATGTTATGAACCTTAATCGAAAACCCAACTCTTAATACTTGTAAGGTTCACCTAACACCGGGAAAGTACAGTGGAAAATAGCAATCCTGTTCACTTATAGGTCCATTCTGTTTATCTTCATCTACATCGCCGCATTATCTTACGTATTGGTTACTTGTTCATTCATGGTTGTCTCCTGCTAAATCTCCCCTTTGTGTTGTTGAAAAAATATTTGACAATATAAAGTGACACTGGTATGCCTACTCGCTTTAGTTGAATGTAACATCCTTTATCTGATAAGTTTTGGTGAAAACTAATAAAATGGCTTATTATTCCAGTTTAACTAACCTGATATATTTATTCCGCGTCTTTAAAGTAGTTTGTGGAAACATTGACTCGTTATTTAGTTTTAATTTGATCTTCTGTGCATATTACTGTTTCATTGCTCATATTTAGCTGGACATATACGACCTTCGATGTGGCCAACGTCGACCTGTTGCTCGTCATGCATGGCGTACAAGTCGCAAACATGGAAAACTCCATGTTGGTTCCGGAAAGCACAGTGCAGTGCTTCCGGATTTGACCACTACTAGACCAATCACAAAAGCAGTAGCTTACGATAACTCTCCAGGCATAGGATTACGTGTTGTTGCTGGGAACGCAGTTGGTGAATTATCTGTTTTGGATTTAAGACTCCCTCCAGAATATTCTAATTTGAATTCCTCCGATAGCCCTGGTGTTATACCAGTTAGAAGCTACGGATCTCGAGCACCTGACCCACCTTCTGGTGTTCGATGTCTTGCTGGAGCTTCAGGTTGTATAACGCATTTAATATGTGGTGGAACTGATGAAGAAAATACATTTCCGTTCATGGAAGCAGCTATAAATAGTGAACCAATCATTCTAGCATCTTCGCTAGATCGGTATTTGCGACTTTATAATCGCGATACTGGAAAGCGTCTTGGAAAGGTAATACCAAACATACTAAAAGTTTTATTACGAATTTCATTTCTTCTGGTTTCCTCTTATTTTGATTGCCGAAAATCTTAGTAACAATCACAATTAAGTCCATGGTGTTGTAGCTTAAGAGTCAGTGGTCATCTCATTTTTCTGCGTAAATATGATAAACTAACTAGTCTTTTTGACTTGGTAATGGGGTCCTATGAAGACGTTTTGTCTGAATGGGTTTCGATCATAAGCTGACTGAAGAACCACTGAAATCCAAGACCTACTAGATAGCTTTCTTGGTTTCACCCAGGTAATATAAAATACAAGATCTCGCATCTCATTAAGCACGAGAAGTGATATATTTCAACTTTCATGTACCAAATAACCAAGGATGCTGATTCACTGACCGATGGGAAGGACAACAGTGCAACTGACTTCCTGTTACATACTGTCCCAAAACAACGTGAATAGGATATTAAAAGAAGTCCTGAAACTCTTGTTGAGAAGGTTATAGGTAATGTAAAGCAAGGAAAAATAAGGGGTCCTTATGGATTAATGTTGATTATATTTAAGCATGGTCGTCCACTTTCAGCAGTTAGATTGACTAAGATATAAGCAATGATCTGCGAACTGAACGTAATACAGTCTGACTAGTCTCGATCATTAATCCTCCCACTTTATAAAAAAAAACAAGTTTTCTTGTTGCAACCGGAAATAATTCGGTTTGATTAATGTAGTGTCCAAAATATTTGCTTTGGTAGTCATCCGGCACTTAACAGGTTTGTAAAGGGGGAAACTGGGTTGGTTCCAGACCTTGACGTAGATGTGACGACTGAAAATCTGCCCTTTGCTAGCTTCTGGAATATATATTTTCCAACGTTTATCTACAGTTATGTTCGTTGACCTGAAAGTAACATTCAACTGTTTTGTCCGAGGAGTCCTATATTAGTGTCTGATGTTCAAAGGCTTAAGAAGTACATAAACCTTGTACAGGTTATCTACTTGAACTCACAACTTATAACCAACTGTTATCAGAATTGGTAACTTCAAATGGCGTTCGTTAGGACTGTTGAGTTCTTCATATTTATTTAACTTTGTAGTAGAAATTCTTTTCAGAAAGTCGCTTGTATCATCTAGTTTTCAGCAATACATCTCTTACCAGGAAATTCACTTGTTGACTTAAAATACACCGATGACGTAGTTCTACTTGGCAAGGACTCGGACAAAACACAGTCTTTTGATCATCTTCAGTAGCGAAAGTATGTCTGAAATACTCTTCTCTCCCTCTAAGTGCAGAATATTACTTCAGGGCTAGTCTGTGTCAACGTTTAAAATAATAACAGGGAGAAGGATTGGGCATAGGGTTGACAACATCATCACATCACGTGGAAAACAACCTTGCCGAAAATGCTAACCAGAATAAACAAGTTGAACCATTTAAACTCTACCCTCCAATTTGAAGGGTCTTCTCTCAGAAAAATTATGACACTTCATAGTGAATGCCAAGATTCTTCGAAAGTCACGAAACCCATGCCCCTTCTAACAACCACAGCAATAATTAATATAGGTAAATAGAATTCCCAGACAATGTGAGAGACAGGACTAACCGAATAGCTACAGAAATGAGGAGATACAACTTGGAGGTGCTCGAATTAAGTGAAACACATTGGACCCAAGCTAGACAGAAAAGACTAGATTCGGGAGAGATGTTGCTGTACTCTGATCATGAAGACGCAAATGCTCCATACACAAAAGGATTTGCTCTGATGCTATCCAAAAAAGCACGAAAAGCACTTGCTGAATGGAAATCTCATGGATTCAGAATAATCAAATCATCATTCAAGACATAGAAGAAGGGAATCACAATGAATGTTATCAAATGTCATCCACCCACCGATGATTGCAACGACGACGCTAAAAGTCGGTCTTATGAGAGGATGAAATCGATCGTGGAGATGTGACCAGGAAAGGACCTGACCATCCTGATGGAAGACCTGAACACCAAGGTTGCGACGGACTAAGACGGATTACATCGTGATCAACTATCGCTGGCGCGGCTGTGTACAAGACTGTCGCTCCTCGGAATGGGCAACATCTAGTTTGAAAATATCACGGGAAAGACTAGGAGAAACGAACTAGAATATTAACAGATTTGCAAATTTATGTGCATTCTATGAAATGATTATAGTTGGCACTATATTCCCCCCACAAACGCATACGGCTACATGGATCTCACTAAATCACAGCACATAGAACCTGATCGCTCATATTTGCATCAGTAAAAAATTCAAAAAGTCAATAGAAGACGTGAGAACCAGGAAAGGAGCTGTCATAACTTCGGATCACAACCTGATGGCTGGCAAGAATAAAGTGATGTTAAAGAAGGACTGGACAACTGGGAAAACAGCATTATCAAGTTTCAGTACATCCTTCGTTCAAAATACTGACAAACTCTGCATGGAAACCCTGCACAAGATTCAAGAAAGGAAGAACAAGAAGATAACAATTAACAACAGTCGAACAAGAACGGAGAAAGTCAAGTCACAAATTGAATACACAGAGGCAAACAAGGAAATAAAGAAAAGCATTAAAGCTGATAAACAGAAATACGTGAAAGACCTAACAACGACATCGAGAAAAGCTGCTACAGAAGGAAATATGAAACAGTTATATGACGCAACAAAGAAACTTGCTCCAGTGAATTTACCGGACACCAAAGCAGCACACACAGACATTCTTATAGCTGTCACTCCAACAACCGGAAAAATCTGCATGGCCACCAAAAGAATCAAGATCAGGACAGCAGCAGGAATACAGTGGACAGGATTTGGACTTCGCAGATGATTTAGTTCTGTTCCATACACATGAACAAATGCAGGTCAAGACAACTAGTGTATCAGCAGTCTCTGCATCAGTAGGCCTCAATGTACACAAGGGAAGAAGCAAGATCCTCAAATGCAACACAGAAAACACCAACTTAATCACATTTGATGGAGAACATCTGGAAGATTTGGAAACTTTCCCGTGCCTTGTCAGAACCATCTATGAACAAGGAGGCTCAGATGCAGACATGAAGGTGAGGATTGGCAAAGCAAGGGCAGCATTCCTACAATTGAAGAACATATGGAACTTAAAACAACTTTCAACCAATATCAAAGTCAAAATCTTCAATACGCACATCAAGACAGTTCTACTGTACGGAGCCGAAACTTGCGGAACTACCACAACCATCATCAAAAAGGTACAAGTATTTATAAACAATTGTCTACGCAAGATACTCAATGTTCGTTGGCCGGATACCATCAGAAACAGTCTGCTATGGGAGAAAATAAACTCGTTTCCAGCTCAAGAGAAAATCAGGAAAAGACGCTGGAGGTGGACGGGGCATACATTGCGGAAACCATCAAACTGCATCACGAGGCAAGCCCTAACTTGGAATCCTGAAGTGAAACAGAGGAGAGAAATAACAAGGAACACACTGCATCAAGAATTGAAAGCAAACACCAAAAGGATGAATAGCAACTGGAAAGAGCGAGAAAGGCTTGCCGAAGACAGAGCCGGGTGGAGAATGCTGGTGGGCGGTTTATGCTCATAGACGAGGGGCAACATGCGTAAGGAAGTAAGTGGGGAGTTTTGCAGGCCGTCTAGTATTCTGTGATTTTTTGTTCTTCACTAGATATCATACTGTGATAATTTATTTTTAAACTACACGAATCTTCACGAAACTGTTTTGGTAAATACTACGTGTGCCAACTGATAACTGGTTCTCGTGAAGATTATCTGAGGGAAATTCTTATTGAATCATGATTTGATAAAAAAGAGAAAAAGGGAACCAATATTTGATCTATTCACCAATAAGTTAATGTCTTGAAGAGTTTAAAAGAATCATTATTACTGTTTACTACAGATGTTTGTTTTCGATCATCAGATAGTTGAGATAAGCTGGTATCATTATATAATTTATTTGAAATGAAGTACGCAAAAAGTTATAAATAGGTAAATATTATACGACAGTGTCCCTTACATATTAAGTGCACTCATGGTTTATAACAGTGTAGTAAGGCTTCATAATGTATAACAATACATATTTTTAAAGTCCGTAATCACCTATATATTTTAGCTTTATTTCTACTTTGTTCTCTGTGTAAACTTCATTATGAATTAAGCTATGTGTAACGCGTTTAATTACAATTATATTTATTCCGTTTTTTTAATTGTGCAACAGATATATGTTAAAGTCCCTGTAACATCATTTCTTGTCCGTAGAAATGCAAGCTTTGCGAATATTGAGAACTTTTTAAAGAAAGACAATGATATTAGTGTTTCAAACGAAGAAGAAAAAGTTGAAAGTTCTTACGGCATATCTAAGACAGAACAAAAAGAATTTGAAGACTTGTGGAATCAAATACCAGTTGTCGACAACAATAATGACGGTGTTAATGAAGGCGGTAAAAGGACCACTGGGCTTAAAATTGGTAAACGGAGGCGCAAAAAGTAGAGAATAGTTGATACAGTGTTGTGTAATATTTTGTGTATAAAACATTAAAAAGCAAAACTAAAAAAGGACTTCTTATTTAACACCAGTTAAATATTACAGATGGACTATCAAGAACCTTAACCGTAACACTTTGTTCCAGGACTAAAATCATTTTGTCCCAGTTAGATCGTTTTTAATATTGAAACTCAGTTCACCAGTACGATTTTTTTTCGCAAAACGGTATGCACAAGTTTCACAGTAATTTTTCAGTCGTAAAGTAGAATATATTTTCCACCGGCTCACTAGCTGGATTTATGGTGGTCATTGCGTTTCCAACAAAAATTCATACTCGCCTGTCGGTATTGCTAAATCTCACAAGAATGGCATTCTTGATATAATACAATTAGATGTTTAGATCTAAAATTTCTACGGAATAGTAGTTGGTCCAGTTCTCATTTTTGAGTGCTATTTGATTCTGTTTTAAGTTTTACCACAAGGCATCCATGTAGAACAAAAGTGGTTTCAAAGTGTGCGTTCACGACCTCCATTCTTTGTGTCTAAAATCATAGTTACATTAGTAGTTTCTAATGGGAGCTTGTAATTTATGAGTTACTGTTTTCTTTACTATATCATACATCTAATTAAATTTTAGTTGTGTTTGTTCAACAACAAGCAAACGTACAGCGATTAGATTCCTGACATTCTGATTAGCACGGATCAGCTTAGTTACCATAATCAGTAAGCCTAATCAACACATCAAAGTGGCAGCTGTCTGTAAGAGAAGAATCTAAACGATGATGTGATGGAATGGACAAATCAATAAGTTGAGTCTGTAATAAGATCAAACATTAGCCTCTTGACCAACTTGTATTAAGAGGGTGTTATTGTTGTACATTTATAACCATTGATCCACTTTTTTTGCAGCGAATTAGGTGAGTCTTCGGAAAATCACACCTATCAGTACTGTTGGATTGGTTTATGTGACTGGTTTAGTTTGGAAGTAATATGCGTCACGAACCTACGTCAGTTGGCATACCATTGAAAGCCCGGATGGACTGGAAGTGGAGTTCCGTCTTGTCAGGATCGAAATAGTCGTTATCAATGGCGTTAGATAAAAGTTTTGCTATGCCGCTAATTAACCAAAGTTGGAAGTATGTACTACTGAACGACAACTCAATATCCTATGTTTGATTGCTGTCAGGGTCATAGGTCCTCAATTCAGGAGTCCCATACTAGGTTGAGAAATTTTTCAGTCTGCTATTGTTTTTCCTGCAATCGAATAAGTATAGGTACAGAAAAATGTATACTGTGTCAATGTGATCTGTCGATTGGATCTTACTTTCAGTGGTTAAAATATTCAGTCCATAAATCAACTGTATCATTCAATATGATTTTCATGTAAATTCGAATTCCTCTGCATTTATAACAAAAGTTGGTATATTGATAACATTTCTAACTGTGTTACTAAATGGTGCGGATTAGCATTTCATATAGTATCATTCCCTTCAAGTTTGGAGATACTGCCTTGCTCACAAGTAACAACTGATCAGTGTCTTAATGGTTTGGACAACCGGGTAGTATTAATAAATTTCATACAATGTGTGGTTTGAAACCAAGTATATGAATCTGTACTTGGTAAATGGGTTTACACATATCAGCCTTCTCACTAATTTCCTCTAATCACAACAGTACAAATGCTACTTCAATGTCGAGCTACCTAGAGCAGTGATCACATCATAAAACAGACAAATATAATATTGAATAGTACTGGACTCTTAATCCGTATAAAGTTTATTTTAGTTGTTCGTATTTCCAATGACAAACAATTCTGAAGCTTTTCATTCTGTCTCATACCATCATTATCACCAACAAGGTCAATGGATTTTAAAGTTATCAACTTAAATATTCAATTAGTGTATTATTCCCGCTAATTTTGCACGTGATGAGTATTATGTTCTAATAAGTTGGATATTTAAATTATGATAAACTGATTGATTTACTGATCAACTCATTAAACTGAACATTATTTCCAAAAAACGTTTGTGCAGTAAATTGTTTTGTTTTTCCTTTATACTTCTTTTATTGTTTGAATTACTTACGCCTGTTACTCCTCGTGAAGGAGCATGGGCCACTCACCAGCATTCTCCATCCAACCCTGTCCTGGGAAATCCTTTCCAGTTGTTATTCATCCTTTTCATATCTGATTCCATTTCCCGACATAGTATGTTCTTCGGCTTACCACTTTTTCGCTTTCCTTCAGGATTCCAAGTTAGGGCTTGCCTCGTGATGCAGTTTGATGATTTGCGCAATGTATATCCTATCCATTTCCATCGTCTTTCCTTAATTTCCTCTTCAGCTGGAAGCTGGTTTGTTGTCTCCTACAGTAGGCTGTTGCTGATGATATCCGGCCAATTATTGTTTGAATAGTCGGTTACTGATGGAACACTGAAACAATTCAGATTTTATGATTATAATATCATTTGTTACTTTAATAAAACTTTTTGAAACTTCCATACTCCACCATTTATAACTGAAGTTATGTTTATCTTCCGATTGTATATAGAAATATGCATTAAGAAATCTTGTATTCATTGAATAAAATAGTTTTTTTCTCTGGAATGGTTATGCTTATTCTAAATCTTTTTGGAAGGAATAAATTTCTGATGATATACGTACATATACATAGAAGTTTTAATTGAAATTGAAACTCAATTTAAACGAAATTAAAACATATGGTATACTTTAATGTTATTTATGCAGTAGACATAAATTTCAAATATGATCGTTTGTAAAACTAATGCTTATTAAGTAGATTAAAGTTGTAAATTCCTGATATACGAGTGGTTAATTTTCAACTAATATTATGGTGTGCGCTACTGATGTCCACAACGAAAATGAAGGAAGATTGGCAAATCTATGTGCATTCAACAAATTGGTCATAGGCGGCACAATATTTCGACACAAAAGTATACACAAAGCTACATGGATTTCACCGGACCACGCCACAGAGAACCAGATAGATCATATTTGCATCAATAAAAAGTTCCAAAGGACAATGAAAATGTGAGAAGCAGGAGAAGAGCTGATATAGCTTCAGATCACCACCTAGTTGTGGCCAATTTAAAACTGAAGCTAAAGAAAAACTGGACAAACAGCACTACAAAGTTTCAATACAACCTTCCTTCGAGATACTGACAGACTCAATGAATTCAAGATAACTCTCAACAATAGGTTCCAAGCCTTACAAGATCTACTGAAGGAAGAAGCATTAACTTCAACGTGTCAAGAGGTTCTGGGCCTCGAGAAGCATCATCACAAGGAATGTATCTCTATAGAAATACTGGTCAGGATCAAAGAAAGGAAGAACAAGAAGACAGCAATTAACAACAGCCGAACACGAGCAGAGAAAGTCCAAACACAAGCCGAATACATAGAAGCGAACAAGCAAGTGAAGGAGAGCATTAGAGCCGAAAAGCAAAAATACGTGGAAGAACTAGCAACGACAGCGTAGAAAGCTGCAAGAGAAGGAAATATGAAACAGCTTTACGATACAACGAAGAAACTATCAGGGAAATACAGTAAACCAGAGAGACCGGTCAAGGACAAAGAAGGCAGGCCAATCACTGAAACTCAGCAACAACGAAACAGATGGGTAGAGTTATTCGAGGAATTCCTGAATAGGCCGGCTCCAATGAATCCACCGGACATCAAAGCAGAGCACACAGATCTTCCTATAGATGTCAATCCACCAACGACGAAAGAAATCAGAATGGCCATCAGACAAATCAAGAATGGGAAAACAGCGGGGCCCGACAATATACCAGCTGAAGCACTGAAGTCAGACATCGAAGTAACTACAAACATGCTTCACCTTCTATTCAAAAGGATTTGGGAGGAGGAACAAGTGCTGATGAACTGGAAAGAAGGACACATCAAGATTCCAAAGAAAGGAGATCTGAGCAAATGTGAAAACTACAGAGGCATTACACTACCGTCAGTACCAGGGAAGGTCTTTAACAGAGTTTTGCTGAACCGGATGAAAAATGCAGTAGATGCCAAACTTCGAGATCAACAAGCTGGATTCCGTAAGTATCGGTCGTGCACAGACCGAACTGCAAGACTACGGATCATCGTCGAACAATCAATTGAGTGGAACTCGTCACTGTACATCAACTTCATTGATCATGAGAAGGCATTTGACAGTGTGGATAGGAGAACGTTATGGAAACTTCTTCGACACTACGGAGTTCCTGAGAAAATTGTCAATATTATCCGGAACTCATATGACGGACTACAGTGCAAGGTCGTGCATGGAGGACAGCTGACAGATGCATTCCAAGTAAGGACCGGAGTCAGACAAGGCTATCTACTCTCTCCCTTCCTCTTTCTTCTGGTGGTCGACTGGATTATGAAGACCTCGACATCTGAGGGAAAACGCGGAATACAATGGACAGCTCAAAATCAATTAGACGATTTGGACTTCGCAGATGACCTAGCCCTCCTATCGCATACACATGAACAAATTCAGATAAAGACAGCCAGTGTAGCAGCAGTCTCTGCATCAGTAGGTCTCAGCATACACAAGGGGAAAACCAAGGTCCTCAAATTCAACACAGAGAACAGCAATACAATCACTCTTGATGGCGAAACTCTGGAAGATGTAGAATCCTTCACATACCTGGGAAGCATAATCGATGAACAAGGAGGCTCAGATGCAGACATGAAGGTGAGGATTGGCAAAGCAAGGGCAGCATTCCTACAATTGAAGAACATATGGAACTCAAAACAACTTTCAACCAATATCAAAGTGAGAATCTTCAATACCAACGTCAAGGTGGTTCTACTGTACGGAGCTGAAACGTTGAGAACTACCACAACCATCAGCAAGAAGGTACAAGTATCTATAAATAGTTGTCTATGCAAGATACTCAATGTTCGTTGGCCGGATACCATCAGTAACAGCCTACTGTGGGAGACAACAAACCAGCTTCCAGCTGAAGAGGAAATTAGGAAAAGACGAT